GGAAAGAGCAGTCCCATCTCCTTGACCCTTCCTTCTCCAGTGCTGCTAAAACTGTTAGTATCCACCTGCTCACTGTGTGTTCCAGGCCAGAACTGAAACACGGTGGCTTCCCTTTCTGAAGATATGCAAGCAAAGTGCAGGACGCGGTGTTCAGCACAGTCCCTGCCTTAGTGTATCTCTTCCCCAGCAGCTGGCACTCAGCCCTCTGAGGCTGGAGTAATGTCAAATTCCTCCCGTGTCGCATGTCTTTGCATCCCTGAAACAGAAAGAGCAGAGCCAATACTTGGACAAAACCCAAACGGGAAAAAACATGGTTATCGGCCAGTGATCTTAAGTAGTCTCTGAGTAATGACTATAAATCCGTGTGAATCAGGACAGAGATTTTCACATGTAGATAAGCTTTTCTGGGAAAGTCATTAGTCTGTCTGGAGCCCTCATTAAGTCTAAGACGAACCGTAGCTAACTGATGTGCATGAGCTCGCACTTCTCACTGAAGCTGGGGGGTCACATAGGAGCTGTTTGCTAGATTTTCACTTAGCCTGTGGTTTTTATGCATTACATCAAATTTTCAGATGCTGTAATGACTGGTACTGACTGACTATCTAGTTAGAAAGGTGTCAATAAATATACTGTGGCTGTCTGAACTCTAGAGCACGCAATCCTTATGTTGAGAAAGCTTCTTCACTCTCTTTGGGTTGGTCCAAATTTGCTGGCACTCCAGGTGTATGCATAATTTTTCCTGTCACTTAGTTTAGGTAGACATTACTACGCTCTTAGCTGGGATTTGTCTTTCAGGTATAGATCCTGACATGTTGTCCTACTCACGTTTGTTGAATGTGTTGCAAACTGTTTTATAATGGTTTGTTATGTTTCATTCTTGTCTCTTAGCTGTGTGTGTAAAGAAGGGGAGATTGGAGATGGCAGAAGTTGCTATAAAGATCTCTTGAGTGAGATAAATCAGCATAATTCACGAGGAAGGTTTGCTGGGAAATTAAACGTCGCCAAGAAAATGTTTGGTAAATGTCATTTGAATTTGTTTGGGGAATGGAGCGAATGTGGGGACAAGAGTGTGTCAGAAAGGGCTAAAGGCCTTTCAGCATAATAGATCTATTTCTCAGAGTATGACCATGGGCTGCAAAATTAAACACATTGCATCTCTGAATCTGGATTGTGAATTGAGAACACTGTTGAGAGAGCACTGCAGGGGAGTATTAGGTATTTGACAGTTCTGGTGAAGCACGTACCATATCTGCAGAAGGAGGAAAACATGTCTTGGAGGTGTGATTCAAACCTGTTTGTATCAAACCACCAGTGTGCCTCCACCTGCAGTATCTATGCTGAAGGCTCAACAATCTTTCAGCTGTTGCTGGGTTTTCTAGTGGTTGAGAGGACCTGTTGGCTGGTGTGCCACAGGTCTTCTACTTAGTAGAACTTCTACTAAGCCCTTAAACAGCCTCCTTACCAGCACACATGTGTGAGTGGCTATTATGGAGATGAAAAGGCTTTATTCTATGCACTGTGATACTTTCTCAGTGATGAATTGCTTTGCAAAGCATAGAAGACTGTTTTAGAACCTGTGTACTGCAAGTGTGGGGAGTGATATCTGCGAAGGTTAATTTTTGCCTCACTGTAATCCAAGAAAAGAACGAGAACCCTTTAGCTAATGTGAAAGCATATTATGATAGATACCTTCTCCAACTCGTCCTCTGCACAGTCTTCTGTATCTCCACTAACTTGACAGGAGCATAGAGATAGGGCTCAAAGCTCAGCTTAGCTTTTGTATATACCCCTCCCTGCTACATATCAGTGTTGCCAACACTCCTTTTTTGCATATGTTTTCCGTAATGATTTGTGCTATGGGCAACCACGTGAAGATCTCTGGGTTCCTAACTCCCATGCAGTGGGACTTCACACCTAATGACCTTTGTTGATGTGGACTTTGTTGATGGGCCATTGACGAGTGAGTGAAGACTGACAACTGTGGGTTCATAGCAGCTTCTCAAGAAGTATTTGGTCTTAATAAATCCTGATGACACCCAAAAATTAGTTGTTTGAAGGGGAAGAGAGAGGACACTTGGGCCAAGAATAAGGTAGTAAGCATGTGGGAACAGAATTATTACGAATATTCTGCGAGTTCCAGCAGTGATTCGAAGCGGACCAAGGTCACCAGCAATCCTTCAGAAATCTTGTGGGCAAATGCTTTAAACTAATAGCAACCAAGGTGGGCTGTGAAAACAATACCAAGCTTTCTCTGCTTCCTTGTAAACAAGTACTAGTTGCTTCCATCAGGCTGAAAATGTCTATATTGAATTGTGCTGTTAACAAGAGGAATAATTACTACTGGAGTTAAACCATATGCTAAGTAACTACTTCATGTTGCCACTCTTTTTACAGCTTCTGGTTGCTCAACGTTGCTGACCAAATACGGGCCTTTGACAGTCTTTGTACCATCCCTTCTTCTGATTCATGATAGAATGGAATTTAACGTAAGTTTTCTGGGTTTTAGCAAATTTTTGCTGTCTAAGGATTCTTTCCTGCCTGAGTTCTGCAGTCTGTGAAAACTGATTGACACATGAGAGAGGAACTTTGGAAGGCAGTATTTATAGAAGCAATCTCTCGGGACTGTTCATTGTCTGGTTATGTTGCAATCTCATAGAGGATGTTACATCTCATATTTTTTTTAAAACCGTTATCTCTCTGTTCAATATTGACAGAGTTAGTTGGTTTTTAATGTCAGGAAGTGTCAGTTTTTCTGGCCATTCTTCGTTTAAAGCTCAAACCTCCTGTGTGTGACTATTCTCAAAACTTTAGGTGGCTTTTCACTACTTGAGGATGGAGTTTTCAAAAGGGGCTGAGATTTGCATCAAAGTATTGAATTTTGGGCCTATGGCCCTAGATGTGGGTATGGCATCAACTTCTTGAGAAGAGCTCATTTTTTTTAACGGGGACAGCAAGGATAGCAGGGCTGGAGAAAACTGCTGTGGGAGCCAGAACAAGAGTTTGAGAATTCTAGGCTTCAGCAAGTAGGTCCTGCGGGTCATATTATTATTTCATTTATTTTTTCATTAAATTATGTTCATTTGCAGTAATTTTGCACAGTTAAGCCCACAACCAGGCTATCCATCATTAGCATGAAAAGGTATAAAAACCATTTTCCGAGGACAGAGCTAAAAATCATCACTCACAAGCTACAAATGCAGCTCACGCAGTAGGGGTTTTAATTGCATGCTAGGCAAGGTGGCTGTTGTGTTTCAGGTGGCAGCTAGCTTGCAGCTAGCACTCAGGTATGAGAAGGTAAACGTCTTAAAAATAACTCAGACAGACAGACCAACCCCATTTGAGCATTACATTTCCATCTGATTTAGAAATATCATTCCTTTGCTTGATAGCAAAGCTATCTATGCAGCAGCAGTATTCCTCTGAAGTCACTTGCAGGTTAATTAATCTCCCTGTATTTGAATGTGTACACAAACAGAAGCAAAATATTTGCCACAGTGCTAGTCCAGTAAACCCAAATGAAGAGGGAAGCTCAATCTTGTATGCTGAAAATTCCTCTGTATGTGTTAGCTGAGAGAGAGGTAATGTGATGGCTGTTTCAGTAAATGAGGTTTTTGAAAGAACACGTCATTTATCTTCTTTATGTGGTCTTTATTCCCCAAAGGATACCACTGCTGAGGATTTGTGCAGAATGCACGTTGTTCCTGGTCTGCATTTGGTAGAAGACTTGGTAAAAGCCAAGACTGTGTGGACCTTGTCAGGACATCAGCTAACATTCAGTAGCCAGGTAAAGGATCTCCTGAACTGAAGTCCTGGACCACTGCTTTCATGTAGGACAGGCTGGAGCTTGAGCATAATTTCCTTGGTGCTCCTTCTTATCCAGAAACCCCTTTCCTCTAATCAGCCTGCCTGCTATCAGAACAACAAGCTCCTCTGTGGAGTCCGAAGCAAGGTGATTTAAGACCAGACAGCCCAAGCAACAACTTCTCCTGTCTTGCAGACAACCAATTAGCCAGAATCTGACTCCTAAGCTTGTGAATGGTCTTTCCTTGGTCTGTATATGTATTCTGGAGAATTCCCTA